CAATAAATAAATAATTTTTTTATTTATATGATTTAATAAAGTTAAATGCAATTTTTCATTTTAAACCAAAACGAAAAACCAAAACTCTACCCCCATGAGTCTTTAGACATGAGACTTCATTCAACTTTCATATACTTTTCCATACTTACTTTTACAAGGTGCCATAAAATCCTAGAGTACCTTCCCATTCCTGCCTGGCCAGCAGAAAAAACATGCCTTCCTCAGGGAGTGCCTAAAATCCGCATGGTTAGTAAGCTCTCAGTAAACCACACAAGCCATACTCTCCCCAAAACCGTAACAATCTCCTGACCTGACTGGCCACTATAACGCTATCACCCAATGCATTAACCATCTTAGAGAAAGTGAATACTTTGCATGGAGAGTTGTGTAACTCCTAACTGGCCTCCCACCCACCCACTCTATTTCCAAAGTGATCTTTTAAAATACACACCTGATCATTTACTCCCCTAACTGAGCCTCTCTTCCCCACAGCCAAAGCTAGTTTTAGCCCTTTAACAAACATTTTAAGGATCGTGACTTTACTGGCAGATTTTAAGCTTAAGATTTTAAGGCATTGTCTGTTTTGCCACCTTCTACCATTCACAGAGCCCGGCATGGTGCTTAGTACATAGTAAAGTAGTGGTTTTGGTTTTTGTTTGTTGTTTTTGAGACTGAGTCTCACCTTGGCACCCAGGCTGGAGTGCAATGGCATGATTTTGGCTTACTGCAACCTCCGCCTCCCTGCTTCAAGCGATTCTTCTGCCTGCCTCAGCCTCCTGAATAGCTGGGACTACAGGCGCCCGCCACCACACCCGGCTAGTTTTTGTATTTTTAGTAGAGATGGATTTTCACAATGTTGGTGGGGCCTCTTGATTTACCTGCCGCGGCCTCCCAGTGTACGGGGATTACAAGTGTGACCACGCCTGGCGGTAGTAGGTTTTTTTTTTTTTTTTTTCTTTTGAGACGGAGTCTTGCTGTGTCACCCAGGCTGGAGTGCAGCGGTGCCATCTTGGCTCACTGCAACCTCCACCTTCCGGGTTCAAGGGATTTTCCTGCCTCAGCCTCCTGAGTAGCTGGGACTACAGGTGCCCACCACCACGCCCAGCTATTTTTTTTTTTTTTTCCTTTTCTGGAGACAGAGTTTTACTCTTGACACCCAGGCTGGAGTGCAATGGCACAATCTCCACTCACTGCAACCTCAGCCTCCCAAGTAGCTGGAATTACAGGCGCGTGCCACCGCACCTAGCTATTTTTGGTAAGAGATGGGGTTTCACCACGTTTGCCAGGCTGGTCTCAAACTCCTGACCTGAGGTGATCCACCTGCTTTGGCCTCCCAAAGTGTTGGGATTACAGGCGTGAGCCACCTTGCCCCAACCGCCCAGCTAATTTTGGTATTTTTAGTAGAGACGGTTTTCACCATGTTGTCCAGGAAGGTCTTGAACTGATCTCAAGTGATCCATCTACCTTGGCCTCCCAAAGCACTGGGATTACAGGCATGAGCCACCACTCCCTGCCAGTAATGTCATTTTAAAAATGATTCTTTACTGCCATTAGGAAGGCCATTTAACACTGCCTTGAACAAATATTGTCACACATGAAGTATAACACTACTTGATTATGATGATGATGGCCACTAAAAGCTTTTGAGAGTCTCCTCTGTTGCTCAAGCTGGAGTGCAGTGGTGTGATCTCAGCTTACTGCAACCTCTGGCTCCCGGACTCAAGTGATTCTCCTGCCTCAGCCTCCCAAGTAGCTGGGATTACAGGCACCCACCACTATACCCAGCTAATTTTTTGTATTTTTAGTAGAGACAGGGCTTCACCATTTGGCCAGGCTGGTCTTGAACTCCTGACCTCGTAATTTGCCTGCCTTGGCCTCCCGAACTGCTGGGATTACAGGTGTGAACCACCGTGCCTGGCCTAAGAGCTCTCTTTAAAAATGCAACCTACTGCTGTTTCTTAAAAACCCTCTTTGACCACCTGTGGTTTTGTGGTATTACAATACCCTGATTCTACTGCTCATTCCTGCCTTCTTGACATCTCTCAAACTGTGTGTATGGTTCTCATCCCTTCTTCAAATAATTAGCTGCTTTAGCATCTCCATTCTGTTATTTGTATATTGCCTTATGGTTTATAACATGCTTTGATATTTCATTTGATCCTTACTATTCTGAAAGATAGGAACCCTCCTGCTTAGTAAGTGGCTAGGTTTTCAGGGACTTGAATTTAATTTTGACTCTGAACTTCATGCTTTCATTGACCATGCTCTCAAGTCAACTATCTGCCTGAATAGAAAGTTAATACTGCAATCATTTATTTCTTAAGGATTACAGCAGTGGCTTTCAAAACTGTGTGCGCATAACATTCCTTTGGAGCATAGGGAAAACAGCTATCAGTCTCATCACAAACACTGGGATGGGATCAGTACTATTATGCTATAGTGATAGCAATCATTACTTTAGCCCATACATTTTCGTATGTATTTTATCCCATACATGAAGTATAAATTCCTCAGTTTAGCTCACTATAATCTTCACTCTTGCCATTTTATCTCTCCTTTTAAAAACCAACTCCTTTTATTCTGGTTGGTATCCTTAAATTTCACCTCCGCTCACAGTAGTTCCAGCAATAATGCCCTTCCTTTTAAATCATTACTGTGAATAATGGTAATTAACACATCTACAATCTAGTCCTAGCTCTGTGATCTTGGAAGAAGTGTGTAAAATAGAGGTACACCTATAAAATGAAATTTCCTTCTAGTTTAAAATGGATTATTACCTGTAGGTCTAGTTTGTACCACTGCATATTCCTTCCATTTTATACGATTTTTTTTTTTAACTGAACTGACTTACAAACTTGAGAAAGCTTCGTATTCACACACATAGTCATACACAATGCCCAGGCATTAGGAAAAAGAATATTATAGTGATTAAATTCAAGTTTCCCAGAGGAGCTGCAGTCTTGAGTCACAGCTTTCTTAAGTCTCAATTTCCTTTATATTTTTCAGTATCAAAAGGGAAAGTAGTGTGGAAAAAAAAAAGATAGGCTTGTAAAAACAGCACTATACAAATATAAGCTGTTAGAAATTATAGTTTCTGATGGCTGATAAAAGTATCAAAAAAAAAAAGTGCTTCCATAAAAGTTTTATTTATCCCCACAACAACCCTGTGAGGTAGGGTGATCAGGGCATTTGAAGATGAGAAAACTAAATCTACATTACTTGTTCACGTCTATACTGCATAGTAAATAAGTAGAAATTAAATTGAGATTTTTAAATGTCCATGACTTTATATTGATTCATGTCGAAACAGGCAGAGAGAATATTAACTTCCCCCTACCTTAATGCCAAAAGGACACTACCTTGAAAAATCCCATTTCAAAAGATGAAAGTAGTATTTCATTGCTTATTTCTACAAATATTTATAAAATAAAAAAATAGTGAAATATTTTACAGATAATACATATAATGGTCTCATTCAGGGACATGTCCTTTAGCTATGTGTATGGTCAACTATTCCAAGTCTTAGAAATGCAAACTCTTAAAAAAAGTATGAAAGACAAAAATGATAATGAGCAGTAGCCTCAATCTTCTTTATTATTCCTCCATGTATCTTGAATAAGCTCTGTGAAAGCTGGTCCCAGTTTAAAAAACAACAACAGCAACAACTCTATACCATAAAGATGTCTGGTAAACTTTAATTTTGTCGCCTACTATCAGACCAGTGCACATTTACCTAAAACATCGATTTCCCAATACTGGCTATTAGAATCACCAGGAGAGATTTAAAGAAACAAACAAACAAAAAAAACCCAAACAACAACAACAACAAAAACAACCCAGAACTCTCAAGCCCCACTGGAGATCCAGTGCGACAATTTTCCAGGGGTAGGCCCCAGGAATCCATTTTAGGAGCTCCTCACAGTAATTCTAATGGTCAGGTCTGGGAACCAACTAATGTATCTTAAAATGCTAATATGAAAACCATAACCTAACTAGTATAAACTTATCACTCTACCCCTCCCCTCCCTGCCCTGCCCTTTTTTTAAAAAAAGATCTCAAATTGTGTTATATCCCCAGAACTCTTGCCTCTGGGCAAGTAATTTCAATTCAAGATACAGAGAAACATTTTATAAAAATGTATCCTAGTGAGACTTGGATTCCAATAACTTAAGAAGCATTTAAATATAAGATACTGAGTTTGTGGTTCTTATTCTGAAGATTCTTAAATGTATTTTATACAGGTTCGTTGTAGGCTTTCAACTCAGGGGAAGACATGAGAAGCAATGACATAAGCACATCACCACTAAAAAAATACCATACTCAAATATAGCTCATGAGAGGAATAAGAAAGTGAATGAATGACAAACTAAGGCCTTTTGGCCCATACATTTTTGTTCCCAGTCGACTCTTCCCCTATAAGGGGAAATAAAATAAACATTCTTTACTAGTTGCTTGGCATAGTTATTCGGTGGGTAACTATTAACTAAGTTAATTTAGATACATAAGATTAAAAGAGATAACAAATAAATACCTAGGAAGACAAAGAGAAGTCAGGTCAGAAAACCTTAAGTAGCTAATGATGTAGCATATAACGCCATCATATTAGTACAATTAAATAAAGGCTTCAATGTCCTTTACATTTTAGCTTTATATGATTGACACAGACATGGAAGAGATCTGGTCCTTACGAAGAATTCTGTGCTTGCAGGAAAGATTTGTAGGAATAATGAAATGCTTTCTTCATTGATGAGATGAAGTCTCTGTTTTTCAGGCAAGTTGACCAAACAAAACAATGAGAAACGAACTTCTTTAGAAGGCTGAATGAAAGTAAGATCTAGCTGGAAAAGTCATTGGCCAAAGATAATTTTTTTAAAAAAACCATTCTATGTTAACCCTTGTGGGGCCGTGGGGGGGGGGGGGAACCCCCCCCCAAAAAAAACCAAACAAAAAAAACAGAAAACAAAAAACAAAGAAATACAAAAAAACAATGTACACATTCATTTCACTGACAGTTACAAGAAAACAGCCGTTTATAGAAGTTACACAATGCTTTCAACAAATCCCAAATAAATTTTGGGAAACAGATAAAGCCATTGGGTAAAAATAAATATACATACTAGCAATATAAAACAATTTATGGTTACGAATTATCATGAATTCTCTTAGGACACAAGGAGAAATATGGTGATATAAATTTGATAAGGGCTACATATATTACATAGAATTAAAAAACAACTGATTAAAACATCCTAACAATGATACAAATTTAAAAGAATGTCTTAAAAGTCAGACATTAACCACTGGAAATAGCACAACTTTAAAATGGACTCCAGAGTTGTAACGTGTATACAGGTCACTTTCGCTGTGTCTCATCAGATATCCACCTCTCCTGCATTTACTAGTCATTTTTTTTAAGAGTTCATGTTTCCTATGTGAGCTGAAGGGGCTGGGCACATTTCAATTTTAAAAATATACACCTCCAATGAACTAAATGGAAGTACTCTACGTCTACTAACAGATAAAGAAAAGAAAGGATAATGGGAAGACAAAACATTATATTAAGGTGGAAGGAAGATGGCTAAATTGTCTCTGTAAATCATCTTAAATTTTGTATTAACAAATTTAAAATGACTCAAAGTAATGAAGAAAAAATATATTAATTTGGTCTCAAGAAATTTTCTCAAGCCATATACAATTTTCCTTAGTTTATTTCTTTAAAGAAGCTTCTTATACTTGATCAGCTAACTTAAAGGAACTCTCCTAGCATGGGACTGAAAACAACTTTATCATTGATAAAAGATGATTAGTTTAAAAGTTGGTGTTTATTACTGAAGTGCCCACAGGCACAATAGTATAGGTGCTTACATTTCCCTTTAGATTATGGGAAAGCCCTTTGTGAATGCACTAAATCAGGAAAACTTTCAGCAATCAGAATGCATGCTGAAAGTTCAGATCTTACCTAAGTTTTGGGTTTCGCTGTTTGAGCATAAAAAGGAAGGGAGCAGGGAGAAATGTAACTAGGTTCACAATTTTGAGCAAGAGCATATGTAAAGGTAACGTATGTACATTTTATTTCAAGAAAGACAGAAGACAAACAGCATAAAGATGCCCAGATGCCCTAAAGATAAATACATTTCAAAGATTCTCATTAAAATGAATCTGTAGTATTTTTTCCTGCAAGCAAAATACCTTTCTTTAAATAAAACTAAAAAAATCAGTATTCTGAATTGCAAATGCTTTTTTTTTTTTTTTTTGCAGAAAATCTGCCATGATTACTTTTTTAATGAATAAGGATTTTCCACAAAACAGGCTTGCTCTACATGCTAGATTTTTAAACAGTTCAGTGACACAATATGCTAACTACATACACAACAGATAATATAGTAAGAAAACACTCAACCTGATGAAAAGTTAAAATCTTCATTAATACACTGAAAATTGACATAACTCATGCCTTTAAAATCAAAGATATAAAAATTAAATGTTTTCCTAAAAAGGTTTCCTTATTTTAAGGATTCATTTGAAAATGAAGCTGCATGTAATTTGTACAGTAAGTTGTACAAGTAAACAGGTAATATACATAAAAAATTAATTGACATACTCCTCAATTATCAGTTGTCCACCTTTAATTTCCAATACTGTACTTTCTTAACAAGCATACAAAATATCAAACTTCTCTTTAGAAAAAGTGCCGTTCTTTGACATCCTTTACACAAAAACAGTCTGAGCCTGTGGCATGTTAATGCAGTTGAGAGGCAAAGCATACGAACTTTTACAAATTCTACCTTCCATAAAAAGCCTCCCGAAAAGGAGATTACACGCCACTATAAAAATATCAACCTCTTGTGGTAGCTGCATTTGAGAACCAAGGCTTGAAGACTATTTTCATATAGCATAGAAAAACCACTATGAGAGCATTATTAACTGCATTGGTGGCTTGGGAGTGTACTGTGCCACAGGATTATGCATAGCTACTGTTAGGTACCAAGACTGTTACACAGTTTTAAATTGATTGTAACTGAGAGCATAACAGAGGTACTACCAGCCCATGCAAAATAACTAAAAATACTGAGTCACTGTGCTGAATACTTCATTCCTGGAGAAAACCAAAGGCAGCAGTAACTAAATCAAGCCAAATAGGTGACCAAACTTTCTCCTCAAAGATTTGTGAGCACAGTGAAGTTTGAGGTATACCTTTATCCATTAAATCTGTGTGCCATTGCAAGATATTACCATTTGAGAATACATGCCATCACAATGGTTTAAAATCTTTTGTATATTAGTCATTCATATATTCTTATCTACCCAGTCTCTTGATTTTTGAAAAGATTTCACCTACAGTAGAATATTACAGAAACAAAATATAAATGCATGTCTTTCTAAATGAAACTTACATGGACTAAAAGTAGAGAATATTTTTAAACAAATATACAATATGCAAGCAGACAAAGCAGGAAAACGGCCATTCAAATGTATAATAAAAAACTAAAAATGGACTATCTCCAGAAAACTATGAAGCGCCTCAACTAAAAGGAATGCATAATGAAATTCTAATCTAATACAGGTCAAAAATGTAAAAAGGTTATAAACCTTAACAGGAAAAATAAAACAACATTTACTGGCCATTCCTGTTGAAATGAGAATCATAAAGTAACAGAAAAGTGGCTACAAACCCACTTAGAGCACCAAACAGAGAGAAAATAAAAGTCCATTTTCATCTCTGTTATTATCATAAAATCCTGTGTGTCTACAGGTCAAACTGCTGGTGGCAGAAACAGAATTCTTTATAAACTGCAGATGTCCTGTACATAAAAAAATTTCACTGGAGTTGCACTAGTTCTAAAGACTCTTCTGTTTTAGCCTACCTACTGTATGTATTCAATCTGAGATAGATAAAGTCTCTTTCTTTAACCCTTGATTATTATTGGGCACCAAAGATAAGAAAAGCAAGACGGGGTACAAAAATGCGAAATTTCAACAGTAATGGCAATGTTTTTGTCTTAGTCCAAAAGGGTCCTGCATTCTCTCCCCCTTCAGTGATTTGACAAGTCTTTGTACTTAATCTGGGGGCAGCAAATCATGCAAGCGAAATCTGTCTCTGATGTGTGGTCGAACATCTTCATTCTGTGTGAAAAAAAAAAGACAAATTTTAAAAAGGCATATAGTTTGAAACATATGATCATCGTAACACTGACATTCTTACCTTGCAGAGAAAACATATCAGTTTCTATTTTACAACATACTTTGTTTACCAAGTAAAGATACTACAAAGATGCAGTTAAATTGAGATTTAAAAAAAATTATTAAAGATTATTTTAATCTTAATTTCTGAAACGGAGTCTTGCTCTGTTGAGCAGCTGGAGTACAATGGCATGATCTGGCTCACTGCAACCTCTGCCTTCCAGGTTGGAGTGATTCTCCTGCCTCAGCGTGAGTAGCTAGGATTACTGGTGCCTGCCACCATGCCCAGCTAATTTTTGTGTTGTTTCGTAGAGAACGGGGTTTCACCATGTTGGTCATGTTGGTCTCGAACTCCTGACCTCAGGTGATCCACCTGCCTCAGCCTTCCAAAGTGGTAGGATTACAGTCATGAGCCACCACCCCCGGCTATTTTTCTGTTGTTTTTTTGAGATGGAGTCTCGGCTCTGCAGCCCAGGATGGAGTGCAATGGCACAATCTCGGTTCACTGCAATCGTTGCCTCCCGGGTTCAAGCAATTCTTGTGCCTCAGCCTCCCAAATAGCTGGGATTATAGGTGCCTGTCACCACACCCGGCTTATTTTTTTGTAGAGACCAGGTTTCACTATGTTGGTCAGGCTGGCCTTGAACTCCTGACCTCAGGTGATCCACCCGCCTTGGCCTCTCAAGAAGATTTACTTATTTATTTAGTTATTTGAATGAATGAATGAATGCACGATAGGGTCTTGCTCTTTCTGCCCGCTGGAATGCAGTGACATGATCCTGGCTCACTGGAGCCTCAAACAATCCTCCTACCTCAGTCTCTTGAGTAGCTGGAATTATACTCACATGCCACAATGCTTAGCTAATTCCCCTGGCTGGTCTCAAACTCCTGGCCTCAAGCAATCCTCCCACCTAGGCTTCCAAAATGGTGGGGTCCCAAATAGTGGGATCATGCCTGTACTCCTAGCACTTTGGGAAGCCAAGGCAGGTGGATTATCTGAGGTCAGGAGTTCTAGACCAGCCTCGGCAACATGGCAAAACCCTATCTTTTAAAAATACAAAAAATCGCCAGGCGCGGTGGCTCACGCCTGTAATCCCAGTACTTTGGGAGGCCGAGGTGGGTGGATCACAAGGTCAAGAGATCAAGACCATCCTGGTCAACAAGGTGAAACCCCGTCTCTACTAAAAATACAAAAAATTAGCTGGGCATGGTGGCGCGTGCCTGTAATCCCAGCTACTCAGGAGGCTGAGGTGGGAGAACTGCCTGAACCCAGGAGGCGGAGGTTGCAGTGAGCCAAGATCGCGCCATTGCACTCCAGCCTAGGTAACAAGAATGAAACTCCGTCTCAAAAAAAAAAAAAAAGAAAAAAGAAAAATCAGCCAGGAATGATGGTGGGTGCCTGTAATTCCAGCTAGTTGGAAGGCTGAGACACAAGAATCGCTTGAACATGGGAGGCAGAGGCTGCAGTGAGTCAAGATTGTGCCACTGCACTCTAGCCTGGGCAAAAGACAGAGTAAGACCATGTCTCAAAACAAAAAAAAAAAAAAGAAAGAAAGAAAGAAAAGGAAGGAAGGAAGAGGTGGGATTATATAGGCATATACCACTATACCTAGTCAAAGTCTGAATAATTAAGCGAGAGACCAAACCAAGACAGGTAAAAAGGAATTCTACTTTCTACAGTCTTTAAAGCTAAGTGTTCCATGTGATATAGAAATATAATTCCCAGAATAAAGTTTCACTGGCATAAGCATTAATTCTAGATGTGAATTATAAGACCAAAATGAAAAATTCAATTTTTTTTTTTTTTTTTTTTTTTGAGACAGAGTCTTACTCTGCTGCCCTGGCTGGAGTGCAGTGGTGAAATCTTGGCTCACAGCAATCTTCACCTCCCAGGTTCAAGTGATTCTCCTGCCACAGCCTCCAGAGTAGCTGGGATTATAGGTGCTCACCACCATGCCCAGCTAATTTTTGTATTCTTTTATTTATTGATTGATTTATTTTTTTTTTTTGAGACAGAGTTTCGCTCTTGTTACCCAGGCTGGAGTGCAATGGCGCGATCTTGGCTCACCACAACCTCCGCCTCCTGGGCTCAGGCAATTCTCCCGCCTCAGCCTCCTGAGTAGCTGGGATTACAGGCACGTGCCACCATGCCCAGCTAATTTTTTGTATTTTTAGTAGAGACGGGGTTTCACCATGTTGACCAGGACGGTCTCGATCTCTTGACCTTGTGATCCACCCTCCTCGGCCTCCCAAAGTGCTGGGATTACAGGCTTGAGCCACCGCGCCTGGCCTAATTTTTGTATTCTTAGTAGAAATGGGGGTTTCACCATGTGGGCCACACTGATATTGACCTCCTGACCTCAAGTGATCTGTCCACCTTGGCCTCCCAAAGTGTTGGGATTACAGGTGTGAGCGACCATGCCCGGCCAGCTTAATGTTATTTCTAATACAACTGCTTAGCAACTTGTAAAAGAAAGACCACTGAAATAGTAAAGACACTCAATCTATAAATTCTTAAATAACGATAAGCATAATTTTAATATAATATATAAAGTCTGAAAATGTGGTTGGGCATGGTGGCTCACATCTATAATCCTAGCATTATGGGAGGCTGAGATGGGCAGATCATTTGAGCCCATGAGTTTGAGACCAGCCTGGGCAACATGGTGAAATTCCATCTCTACAAAAATTACAAAAACTAGCCAGGCATGGTGACACATACCTATATTCCCAGCTACCCAGGACACTGAGGCAGGAGAATTGATTGAGACCAGGAAGTCAAGGCTGCTTGCTGTGTGCAGTGATTGTGCTACTACACTCCAGTCTGAGTGACAGACGAGACTCTTCCTCAAAAAAACAAAAAAATTTGAAAATGCAAATAAATCTTTTTCAACCTTTGCCCTTATCTCCCATGACAGATTACTTTATTATCATCATCAATATTATTTTTTAAAGAGACGGAGTCTCACCATGTTGCCTAGTATGACCTCAAACTCCTAAGCTCAAGCAATTCTCCTGCCTCAGCCTCTAAAGTAACTGGCACTACAGAGGCGTCTGTGATGGCACCTGTGACCTGGCTCACAGTTGACTTTGTAATTCAGTACACACAAAGCAAAGACATTTAAAAAGACTTATTTCAATATAGGTAAGCTAACAAAAACACAACAGAAAAATATAAGCTATACTTACCAGTTCTACAAGCTTCTCCAGGAATGGAATCAATTTTAGGAGTTCATTGTCATTTTTATCCATAAACCAACTTTCTATAGGGATTCCATTAGAAAGCTAAAACAATAAATAAGTAGTTAAATCCTCTTTTACTTATATTTTGCCTAGTTTGGAAAAAGTTAAAAAATGAACAAAAGATGTTTTAAGTAAATAGTGATTTAAAATATGCTTTGAACAGCAATGCCACCAGACCTTTGACAACTTAACAGCTCAAGAGACAGATGAAAATAAATTAAACTGAAGCCTATGGTTTTTTAGTGTCATTTCTTCTCAGACTATATAAAGCTAAACAAGAAATTTCCAATAAAATACATTTTACAAGAATCATCAATATAACTAAAATATTCCTTTATTCCTTCCAGAAATAGTCACAATTATACAATGCTAGGTAGGCACTATGAAAGATGGGATACCACCAATGTAGAGAATATTGGAAAGCCTATACTTTTTTTTCCCTTAAATACAGTGACCATATATCTCTCCCATTAATTATTCTATTCCCAACAAGTAGGATGATAACCTGAAATACAGAACAAATTAACTCAATGGCATTTCATTGAAAAGGAGCCTAAAAACAAGATGCAAGCCATATTTATTTTATGATGAATAATCTCTGGGATAAAATATTTCAAAATTTAGGCTAAATGTTGTGTATGAGATGGAGAATAATTGATGTCATTTTATCTAAGAACCAAGATGAAATTCTTTTTTTTTTTTTTTTTTTATTTGAGACGGGGTTTCGCTCTTGTTACCCAGGCTGGAGTGCAATGGCGCGATCTCGGCTGACCGCAACCTCCGACTCCTGGGTTCAGGCAATTCTCCTGCCTCAGCCTCCCGAGTAGCTGGGATTACAGGCATGCACCACCATGCCCAGCTAATTTTTTTTATTTTTAGTAGAGACGAGGTTTCACCACTTTGACCAGGATGGTCTCGATCTCTTGACCTCATGATCCACCCACCTCGGCCTCCTAAAGTGCTGGGATTACAGGCGTGAGCCACCGCGCCCAGCCCAAGATGAAATTCTTAAAGACATTTTTAAGTGTAAACAAATAAAAGGACCTAAATATAACTTAATATCATATACAATTTTTCCTTTGTTTTCTTTTTATTATAGACATTTTGAAACATTTTGAAACATTTTGAAATCTAAGAAATCATATCACATGGGGCTGGGTGTGGTGGCTCACACCTGTAATCCCAGCACATTGGGAGGCTGAGGCAGGTGGATCACCAGAGGTCAGGAATTCAAGACCAGCCTGGCCAACATAGCAAAACCCCATCTCTACTAAAAATACAAAAAAATTCGCCAGGTGTAGTAGCACACACCTGTAGTACCAGCTGCTCAGGAGGCAAAGCCAGGAAAATCACTTGAACCCAGGAGGCGGACGTTGCAGTGAGCTGAGATTATGCTACTGCACTCTCCAGCCTAGGCAACAAGAGTGAAACTCCATCTCTCTCTCTCACACACACACACACACAAAACCAAACAAAAAATATTACATGGACATATTCATAATCTAAAATATATCTTGAAAGAATGATTCATCTATAGTTGTAGTTATACCATCAAAGAAATATTAACAAAGGGTACAAATATATTGACAAAATAGTCTAAGAAAATATTTCAGAACATTAAACCAAATAAGCAGACCAGAACAGTTAAGCTAACTATAGTACTCAAATCTGTTTGATTAAATTACTCATTAATTACTGATTTAATAACTGATTAGAATGCTACTGAATGATGCTTATGGTTTTCTTATTCAGATTTACTACTCAGATTTTTCTTCATTTATGCTGCATGTCATTTAAGTAAAAATTTTCCAGAAATATAGCACTGTCACTTCTAATTCTAAAAAATTGATACATTAAAGGGAAGTTCCACCAGTGAAAATTCTCTTCTTCTTCTCCCATCGTATTGTTTGGCAGCATGTGTCTTCATTGCATTTTTTCGAATCTGAGTTTATCAGCTTTCTTCCTACCTGATATGCAAAGGCTTGTGGTGAGTTGTCAATTATTATAGTTTTTGAAAGATCTCTTCCAAGAATATTTAAGTCCTTTATATAGTTTCCTTGTACACAAACACAATGTTCACGAAAAAGCCGGTGCCTAAACATAAAAATAAAAACAAATTAACAAAAAAACACAAAACTTTCTAAAAAGTACGACACACACACACACACACACACACACACACACACACACACATATATATACCATAGCCTTTATAGGTTAAGCCATATTATTTTCTCTCATGAAGGAAAATCAAACACAAATATGGGCCTAAGCTCTGTGGGCTGCCATTTTATTATAAAAATTCTTAGCAATTATTAAAAGCTTACAACCAAATATTACTATGCTTTAACTCCAGTTTATCCCAAAATGTTATTATTAAATTATAAAGGGGGATTAAAAACTCTAAATTGTTTTTATAATTTATTTACCCAGGAAAGCTCAGCTCAGATGCAGCATCTGGTTGTCAGCGAGGTCCTGCTTTTTAACCAATTTTCCAGATGGTTGACTGAGGCACAAGGAGGTCAAGTGACTTGCCCAAGGTCACACAGTAAGTCAGTGGTTAGCCCCGCATTGGAACCCAGGATCCTCCTGGCTCCCAGATCTTGGCTCTAACCAGTGGACCACACAGCCTCCCTATCCCTGTACATGCCAGAATAGAAAATATAAGAAGGAATGTTTTTGTGTTGGCATTTTAAAAAGTGCTTTTTAGATTTCCTTATAATTCCTGAGAAAAGGTCCTAAGACCAAAACATTCCATCATTTCAACTTTTCCTCAACACCCTTAATTTCTTTTAGTGTATGTGTATGATCATTTAAAAAAAGAGACGAAATAAAATGAGGAATTCAGATTTAAGTATTATAAATGTAAACTAACAGTTTCACCCAAATTGAAAAATGCTACATCATTTTAGAAAGCTATTAAAGGTTTTACAATACTAGAGTAATTATTATAATCTCAACTTATACTCAAAATATTAGTCTCTGAACATTATTAATAACTGATACATAAAATAATTTTTTTCTACCTTGATACTCTATTCTGTATAAAGTGTCATTAATAATTGGTAAATCGTCTTCCTTGTGTCTTAATCACACTAACAATTTTGCAAAACCTAGGACCTATTTGCACCTGTATTTTAATTTATGTAGTTTCAAGAAACGGATATTTTCTACCCACAAAATCTGTCACAGTGCTACCAAGAATAAGTAAAATCTACATATACACACACACAAATAAAAACTCAATCTTAAAATTATCATTGCCAGTCGCTATAGCAAAAAGGAAGAATTTAAAAAACGGATAAAATGTATAAACAGTTATTTCCCCCTTATTACAAGGAATAACTTTAATAATCACAGTCAAATGATCACCTGGCCCTTGGAAGGTTTAAAGTCAATTCTACTTTGGGTGGGTGGCGGGGGAGAACACTAAGTAAATTAATTCAAGCCTTGATTGGGCCTAAATAGGATTCCATGTTTTGTTTCTATAAACACGTGGATATGAGGAAATTGGAAAGGCATGTAAATTCAAGTCACTGTTGATGCCTCTTCACCAATAGTGGCAAATTCACTGAGACAGGAGACAACTGAATCTGTGCATGGATAGTACAGTTATTTAAATTATATTGGACTAAAAACCTTTCAATTATTCAGGAACAAGAGAGTGTATAGCATGTATCTGCATTTTTTCTAAAATCTGGGACTATCCTGACGAATGCATTTTTAGGAAAAAAACTATTGGTACCAGTCATCACAGAGCAGATCATCCATGTGAGTAAATTTGCATTAAAAACTCATGGGACCGGCCGGGCTCAGTGGCTCACGCCTGTAATCCCAGCACTGTGGGAGGCTGAGGCAGGTGGATCACCTGAGGTCGGGAGCTCGAGACCAGCCTGACCAACATGGAAAAACCCAGTCTCTACTAAAAATACAAAACTAGCCAGGTGGCGCATGGCTGTTATCCCAGCTATTCGGGAGTCTGAGGCTGGAGAATTGCTTGAACCTGGGAGTCAGAGGCTGCGGTGAGCAGAAAAATTGTACCATTGCACCCCAGCCTAGGCAACAAGATCCAAAACTCCGTCTCAAAAAAAAAAAAAAAAAGAGATTTAGAGATCACAGGAATTTCTTAGAGTTTACCTTGTCACCGACATAGACAATCCCCCACAGCACTCACAATCTACTGTTTGAAAAGCTTTTGTTGGCTGGGCTTGGTGGCTCACGCCTGTAATCCAAGCACTTTGGGAGGCTGAGGTGGGCAGATCATGAAGTCACAAGTTAGAAACCAGCCTGACCAACATGGTGAAACTCCATCTCTACTAGAAATACAAAAATTAGGGTGTGGTGGCGTGTGTCTGTAGTCCTAGTCACTCAAGAGGCTGAGGCAGGAGAGTCACTTGAACCTGACAGCAGGAGGTTGCAGTGAGCGGAGATCACGCCACTGCACTCCAGCCTGGGTGAAAAAGCGACACTCCAGCTCAAAAACAAACAAACAAACAAACAAAAAGCTTCTGTTTCAGATTTTTCAAAATACAACTAGATAAAACAAACAGAAACCCTCAAGTGTGTAGATTTTACAAATCTAGTTTAAAAGAGGATTATTAATTTATAACATATTGTAATAGCATGACTATCACTTGTTCCTCATTAGTAAACAAAAGCTCCAAGAGAGAAGAACTTGTGTTGTTCACCACTATAATCACAGCACTTTGGAAGGCTCAGGTGGGTGGATCACTTGAGGTCAGGACTTCAAGACCAGGCTGGCCAGCATGGTGAAACCCCATCTCTACCAAAAACAAAAACTAGCCAGGCATGCTGGCACGCTTCTGTAGTCTCAGCTACTTGACAGGCTGAGGCAGAAGAATCTCTATGAACTCAGGAGGTGGAGATCCCAAACTGCACTCCAGTCTGGGAAACAGGGTGAGAATCAGTATCAAGAAAGAAAGAAAATTAGTGCCCAGCTATTAAAGCTTTTTTTCTTTTTCGAGACAAAGTTTTGTTCTTGTTGCCCAGGCTGGAGTGCAATGGCTCGATCTCAGCTCACTGCAACCTCTGCCTCCCACGTTCAAGCAATTCTCCTGCGCCAGCCTCCTGAGTAGCTGGTATTACAGGCATGTGCCACCACACCCAGCTAATTTTGTATTTTTAGTAGAGATGGAGGTTTCTCCATGTTGGTCAAGCTGGTCTCAAACTCCCGACCTCAGGTGATCTGCCCACCTTGGGCCCTACTGAAGCTTTTATGAGTCTTTTGTGTCATTTCTCTCAGCTTTTGGTCAAAAACTCAAAGATTTAACCCCTCATCTTAAAGGATGCAGCAAGTTTGTTGCATTCTTATTATCTCACTTCAGCTGACAAAATAATGGAACTAATTATAATAATGTTTTAAAATCACCCAGGGCACTGCCACTAACCAGGAATACATTGTATCTCCTGGCTCAGGGCACACACAAGGAACTGAGTCCAGTTAGGATAACCTGAGTGACTAAACCCACTGTAATTTTTCATTAAATTCATATAACATTTTCTTTCCATGGAAGATAAATTTGCTTTCAAAATACGAAGAGCTTAATATGATCCTTTCTGCTAAATATTAGCTTTTATTTATGCCATTAAAAAGTAAATTAACATGCATTATCTCAGAGACATATGGAGATGAAACATCATGCACATTGTGGAAAAATTCCACATATACCCCCAACCCCTGTCTCCCCCAATCCCAAAAGAAATGAGGATATAGATGTCACAGTGAATAAAGGCACTGGATCTTTGTATCCTTTAAAGAACGTCTGTCTGGAGTTCCATCATTAGGAACTGTTTTAAAGAGTTTAGGGACTTAAAAAATTCATTTATATTCACCATCCAACACATATGCAGCCAAATGAAAATGGCCATTAAAATGAAATAGAATCAGTAATTTCATAGATCAGTGTGACAGACATTTCCACTATTTCTTAATTAAATTTACCTGACCAGTTGCTTTTTAGGGTCTAGTATGTTCAGTAACTTGTCTGCATACACCTTCTTAGAAGCAGTAAAAAGAATGATCTATAAATTCAGGGGAAAAGAAGTAATCATTATACATGGTCTAAATATGGGTACTATATTGAATAAAATAAAAATACGTTATGTAATTGGCTTAAGCATGTTTACCTCATACATCTGAGACATTCGTTCCAGGAATTCCCTGAAAAATGGTCTTAATCTCACATAAACCTGAGGAGATACAAAGATAGGTTTCAGCAAATAAACATACAATGGGAAACCATTTCTTTCTAAGGTATGCTGTATTCTAACTTTGGATATATTATAATAAAAGAAGTTCATGTTTTAAAGTATAGAAATATTACCTAAGTACCACTCAAACCAAATATATTTCACATACAAGCGATCACTTAGAACAGTGTTTGGTGTAATAATAATCACTGATGATCCGTTCATTTTTAACAATAAAATAGCAGCATACAGTACTTCACTGGAATGTAATTTTAATAAACATTTAAGCTAAAAATGTAAAGTTTCCCTCTGAGATTTTGATCCACCAATAAGCTCCATCTTCCAGCCAGGTAGCATCCATCCAATTATCAGGCAGGCTGTGTATCCACCTCTAGCTGACCTGTCTCAATGACCTTTCTCAATAATTACTCAAAATTTCATCTCAATAACCACTTGCTAAAAAATCTTTTATTTTAAATTTGTATCAAGGTAAATTATATCCAAGAAGGAGATATTTGGACTGGTGGGTTTAAATAACCTCCATTTTTCAGAAATCAATCTTGCTATTCTACATGTAAGATTCAGATGTGGCATCTAAATTAGCACTATTGGCTACTTGAGGTTAAAATTTTAACAGTCAGACACAACAGTTCTCAAAACCTACTGGTCATTATCAGGAAAGAGTACAGTACCCACAGAGCTGCCTTATATACATTATTTTCTTATTTCTGTGTCTGTCTCCTTGCCTACATTTAATGTAGTCTTATATAATCTAATATTCAAAAAGCCATGAGCAACCATTAAAACAATTTACATTCTGACTCTTCTAAATTGCATTCATTTTGACAAAATTTTACAGAAAAAAAAATACTGTACTTCACTTAAAGGTGACTACTATTATAATTTCAGACACCATGAATAACACATCTTTATTTAACTAGATTCATGGATTCAGATTAAAAAGAAATAAAACATTTTGTGGTAGTAACAAATTCAAATCTAGGCTTAGTGGAGTTTCAATTCTGGCATCCATATACATGCACACAAAAATGCCCCCAAGACAAAAATCTGGTTCTGGTAATGTTTTAGGAAAAAATGGAGAATTTCCTTAAGAACTGCCTACTTTAGAAGACAAATTTTGTTTGTTTGTTTGTTTGAGATGGAGTTTTGCTCTTGTCGCCCAGACTGGAGTACAGTGGTGAGATCTAGGGTCACTGAAACCTCTGCCTCTTGGTTTCAAGTAATGCACAGCCTCCCAAGTAGCTGGGACTAGAGGCACTCGCCACCACACCCGGCTAATTTTTGTATTTTTAGTAGAGATGGGGTTTCACCATGTTGGGCAGGCTGGTCTCAAATTCCTGACATCAGGTGATATGCCCTCTTTGGCCTCCCAAAGTGCTGGGATTACAGGTGTGAGTCACTGTGCCCAGCCAGCAGACAAATTTTGAATGATCATTACTTTGCTAATAATATCACTCTGTTCCCATCTCTAGGCTAGATACAGTTTCACTTGTTTAATCCTATTAGTCTTTTTTTTTTTTTTGGTGAGAAGCTCAATGCAACCTCTACCTCGCAGGTTCAAGTGATTCTCCTGCCTCAGCCTCCGGAGCAGTTAGAATTACAGGCTTGTGCTGGGCACAGTGGCTCAGGCCTGTAATCCCAGCACTTTGGGAGGCCGAGGCAGGTGGATCACGAGGTCGAGATACAGACCATCATGGTCAACATAGTGAAACCCCGTCTCTACTAAAAATACAAAACATTAGCTGGGCATGGTGGTGCGTGCCTGTAATCCCAGCTACTCAGGAGGCTGAGGCAGGAGAATTGCCTGAACCCAGGAGGCAGAGGTTGCGGTGAGCTGAGATTGTGCCATTGCACTCCAGCCTGGGTAATAAGAGCGAAACTCCGTCTCAAAAAAAAAAAAAAAAAAGAATTACAGGCTTGTGCCACCATGCCTGGCTAATTTTTGTCTTTTTAGAAGAAATGGGGTTTCACCTTATTGGGTAGCCTGGACTTAAAACTCCTGACCTCAAGTGATCTGCCTGCTTCCCAAAGTGTTGGGATCAGAGGTGTGAGCCACCTGATCTGGCCTAATCCTATCAGTCTAGACTGATAAAATACAAAGTAAACCACATACACCTCCACAAAGCAGAAAAAAAGGACCAAATCCTCAGTATCCAATTACCATCATTTAGGATGAGGTCTAAAAAATATAACTATAGTTGCTCTTCTAATCAGTTGTAATATTCTCATCCTGAAACATTTAGTGTAGTTTGTAGCCTTGATTGAAAACCACATACATCTTATTTCTTTGGTAAGCCAAATAACGACAGATTATTTTGCTGGTGTTCATCATTCACATGCAGTTAGTAACCCCAAAAATTTCATTTTTCTGTACATATAAATATTTTATCTTCAATATTCCTATAAATCACTTGCTCCATATATAGGTCGAGTGTCCCTTATCTGAATATAGAAAATGATCCAATGAGCATTTCCTTTGAGCGTCATGTCAGTGCTCAAAAAGTTTCAGACTTTTTTTTTTGGGGGGCGGGGAGACAAGGTTTCACTCTGTTGTCCAGGTTGGAGTGCAGTGGTGTAAACACGGCCACTGCAGCCTTGACCTCCTGGGCTGAAGTGATCTTCCTGCCTCAGGCTTCCACGTAGCTGAGATGACAGGAGCATAACACCATGCCTGGCTTAAAAAATTTTTTTTTTTGTAGAGATGGGCTCTCGCTGTCTCACTATGTTGCCCAGGCTGGTCTCAAACTCTTAGGTTCAAGCAATATTGCCTTAGCCTCCCAAAGTGCTGGGATTACAGGCATGAACCATCACACCCAGCTAAGTTTCAGATTTTTTTTTTGAGAGTCTCACTCTGCTGCCCAGGCTAGAGGCAGTGACACGATCCTGGCTAACTGCAACCTTGGCCTCCCAAGTAGCTGGGGTTATAGGCGTGCGCCACCACATCTGGCCCATTTTTGTATTTTTTGTGGAGACAGGTTTCACTGTGTTGGCCAGGCTAGTCTCGAACTCCCAAAACAAGTTGTCTGTCTGCCTCAGCCTCCCAGAGTGTTGGGATTACCACACCTGGCCATAAATTTCAGATTTTGAGGCGTTTCAGATTTCGCATTTTTTGAATTGGGGATATTCAACCTGCAGTAAACGCAGATAAGCAGGGCCTCTTTAAGATTCATTCCCTTTGAACACAACACAATTCCACTGCACAAGAATACATCTACTTAACAGTATTTTCCAAGCATAATAAGTGGAACATTGTTCAAAGGTGACATATTCCAACTTCTCAAACAGTGACTTTCAGATTAGGTCAAAGCTATAACTTCATTATGCATACTACTACTTCACATATACTTAAATATAACATGCATCTTAAAATTTGACATTGCTTTCCAGATGTGTTTACTGGGGATAAAAGGTGGCACTGAAGATAAAGGAATATATTGCTGGAGTGTTTCTTTACTATGAGAATAGAAAGAATAACTGTTGATTATAAAATTTCCTCAGAACAGACACACCATGTGAAGAAGAAGGTTTTTCAGGATTAAAAGACACTGGAAGAGAATGAGGTGGTTAGTAGAGAGAAAAGTGGGAAGAAATGTAGAAAGTTACCAGGCTGGGGTTAGGGCCACATGGGTTGTGCCATGTGATGCAAAGGTAAAATCTCAGAAACAGAAGAGATGAGATGTAAGGCCAGCAGTGTCTAACTCATTTGGATATAGGTAAGTGTGAACAGATATATACAAGTCAAGAAGCATTAAGAACTGTCTGGTAAGAACAAACAAGAACATCTGCCAGGTACATATAATACAATGAGTTTAACTTGAGACTACCATTACTTTATTGTGTTAGGTCAGAGATATAAAAACAGACAGATGCAGATATAGGCATAACTCCAAATGCTTCAAAAATCTATTCCACAAATGCCATCAGCTCCATTTTTCTTCTAATTTTACTCTCAACGATTCCTTTCCTGGACTGCCTACTTCCCCCCTTTTTTTCCTTCTTTTTTTTTTTTTTTTTTTTTTGAGATAGAGTTTTGCTCTTGTTGAGTGTAATGGGCATGATCTCTGCTCACCACAACCTCTGCCTCTCGGGTTCAAGCAATTCTCCTGCCTCGGCCTTCTGAGTAGCTGGGATTACAGGCGTGCGCCACCACACCCAGCTAATTTGTATTTTTAGTAGAGATAGGGTTTCTCCACGTTGGTCAAGCTGGTCATGAACTCCTGACCTCAGGTGATATGCCTGCCTTGGCCTCCCAAAGTACTGAGATTACAGGCATGAGCCACCACGCCTGGCCTACTTCCCATTTTCTACATCTACTTAATCCACACCTTTCTCAACTTAGTATTTTACTTTCTTCAAATGTGCAACTCTTCAAAACATGTAATCTCTCAAACGCCAATAGCTTCATTTCAGTCTAGTATATGTATGTTCCTTCAAATTTATAATAATTATTTTACGTACAGTACAAATAATTTTAATCTTTTCTGAGTAAACCAAATATATTGTGAAAACTGTCAAAAGTATAAAAATAATGCCTAAGGCCGGGCTTGGTGGCTCAAGCCTGTAATCCCAGCACTTTGGGAGGCCGAGGCGGGTGGATCACGAGGTCAAGAGATCGAGACCATCCTGGTCAACATGGTGAAACCCAGTCTCTACTAAAAAATACAAAACATTAGCTGGGCATGGTGGCGTGTGCCTGTAATCCCAGCTACTAAGGAGGCTGAGGCAGGAGAATTGCCTGAACCCAGGAGGCGGAGGTTGCAGTGAGCCGAGATTGCGCCATTGCACTCCAGTATGGGTAACAAGAGAGAAACTCCATCTCAAAAAAAAAAAAAGAAAAAAGAATGTTGTGGGGTCAGGCATGGTGGCTCACACCTGTAATCCCAGTACTTTGGGAGGCCAAGGCAGGTGGATTATCTGAAGACAGGAATTTGAGACCAGCCTGCCGAACATGGTGAAACCTTGCCTCTATAAAAATTAGC